GCCGTGTCAGAATAGAAAAAAAAAATGTTTCACCATAGGAATCCATTCCTATTGGCTATTTCAATTTGCAATAGCCAATAGCAAACTAGCTATTGTACCTGCCCTCTGCTGCAGTTCTCCATCAGGTCCCCACTAGTGATTGACAGCAGCAGAGGGGGGGTACAATAGCTAGTTTGCTATTGGCTATTGCAAATTGAAATAGCCAATAGGAATCTAGCAATGTATTCCTATGGCCAAATTTGTTTTTTTGGGGGTTTTTTTTACGGCAGCAGAACCGCCGGCCAATAGAAAACTGTTGGGCGGAGCTAGCTGTCATTGCTAGCTCCGCACAATTGTTTTCTATTTTTATTTTTCTACTTTTTTAACTATTTTTCTGTTCTGCTCGGTCCCACAGAGAGACCGAGCAGAACAGCCGAGCCGAATGCTGCTCAGCGGCATTTGGCTATCCAGTCACTGCTGTTCGGCATCTATAAGAATAGACCGAACAGCAGTGAGTAGACTGCCAGAGGTTCGGCTTAGCCGAACCAGATCTTGGATCGACTGAGTCGAACCCCTTCTGCACTCCGGGTCGGCCGAACATGCGCGAAGCCAGCCGATGTACCAGCCTGAATGAATAGCCGACCAGCGTTCGGCTCACTTCGCTTCAGGTCGGTCATTCACTTGGCTGTCTACGACAGCTTAGTGAATAGACCCCAAAGTGTCTATTTGAAATTGTGTCGTCATCATCTACGCACTTAGGAAAGGACAACATATAATGACTTCATCTTCTTAAGATCCCTTCTCCTCTTCCACACAGGTATTCTGCTACTGACTACTTCTATGACAAAATCTCTCCCCTGCCCTGACCTGTCTACTTCTGTCTTCAACAGCTCGCTCTCATCCCCCCTAGACACCTTAGCTCCCCCCACTACATGCAGACTTAGGCCTCATTCACACTGATAAGAACCGGCCCGTACAGACTTGTGCACGGCCGTATCGGGCCGCTCCCGGGAAGGACAGGTTCTGCGTGTGATTGCATGCAGCAGCCTGTTCTTCTCTATGGGAGTATGCGGCCATACGCTCACCCGAACTGCACATCCGTTTAAAAAAAACGTCCAGCAACAATTTGATGAAACCTCAGAATGCATTAGTATCAAGAGTCAGTTCATTATTTATTTGGGTGCTATCAGTCTATACTGGGCACGTTTAGATGTTAGTAAAATATATGTCACCATCCATGATCATGAGTTTTTTTCCATGTTGTTTTTCGTATCTTTGATGATTTTATCTCAATATATTTGTTAATAAAAGTTGTGAATCTTATACATTCCAGTTTATGTGGTGGTACCTTAAAAATCCTGCTTTTGCTGTAATCTATTAAAGTGATCTTTTGCTTCTGTCACCTTAGGAAGGCCATTGAGTCTTATATTTGATTGGTGACTCCTCTTCTCAAAGTCATAAAGTTGCAGCTTCGATTTTAAGATCCTGTCCAGTTTTATCCTTCCAAGCTTGCAAGGAGTGCAGTGTTTCTTCATATTTTGACTCCAAAGCAGATACCGTATTGGCAATAGCCATTATCTCCTCTTTGATTTCAGTAATACGCTGCTAATAAGTCAGTTGTTTAGTAGATGCAGTCAAATCATAAGTCACTTTAGTTGTAACGGTTTAGTAGATGCAGCCAAATCAGTTTTAGTGAATATGTCCTGTTTGTCCCAGCATAAGGCATCAAAAGGATCCCTTTTGAAAAATGACTGTGGACCCTGGGGAACAGTGAAGCAATCTGAATGGGGTGCAGAAAGGACTGTGTGTGTCATTTTCTAACCTTCTGTGGCTGCTTCAGGAGCAAGGAGGTCCTCCAACACACTGAGATGCCATATGGCTGAAAAAAGCTGAATACAATGTGGTGTATTAGTTACCTGTAATGATGTGAGTGGGAGCTGCCTCATATGGCCAGACCTCGCCCACATTTCAACGATTCAAAGAGTGTTCTAACAAAGAGGAATGGAGTGGTGAAATTCTAATCTTATGTTCTGGTAAATATTTTACAGTATGTTTACTCTGTCGAAAGAAGCAGCAGAAGAAAAGTTTAACCGTAGCATTATTAACTTTTAGAGACATCGATACCTTGCGTTTCACATGGAAAATGACCTCAGCATGACTAGTACATCCTGTTCAGGAAAGAGAAGTGAAACTATAGCAAGAATTCAATCATTCTCCATTATTGGAACTCTCATCTACTACAGCTCTCACTAACATTTACAGATGGATATTACGGACCTCATTAATGAAAGGTAAATCTTATCACCCATAAATGGCACGCTAGTAAACAAAAGCATTAATGATTAGCATATGAATTTGAAGTAGTAAATGATACCAAGTTTTTTCACTAATTCCCTGTGGCAGATTTGATCAATTCATTTCTATAATCTCATTGAAATGTCTGGTAATCTGATATTGTATAATGGCATATAATTTATTGCTGTCAATACACTTACTTTAAATGCATTTTCCACTTTAAAATTAATACACCCTCCAAGTAGCGAAATTTACCTTTTTCACTATATAGAGCCAGCTTATTTTGCTGGAATAGACAGACATTCCCAGGTTTCACCTTTACTGCTCTATAGGAGATGGAGCTAGGCTATATAAAAGATTACACCTTTAACAGAAATAGTCTTGATAGGTGTAGCTTAGGTCTGTACTCATGATTTCTAAATGAATAAAATGGGCAAAGCATCTTGTTCATCATCACTTACTAATTCTGCATTTCATGAAAGTACACATGGGAATAAATACATAAAAGAATATGTTTAAAATAAAATACACAATATAAATTAACAATTATAATTTTTATTAGATGAATTTAATCATCTTCAAGTGACCCTATGATCACAGGGTCACTTACAAAAAAAACAACAGTAGCCCTATAAAAGAACAGGCACTATAATTACTTTTCCAACAGCCTGTCTCTTGAAATACTGCTGCTTTAGAGATCCCCAGACTTCGCAGGTATTCTACACTTTAAGGTTTGTACCTGCCCCTCCTGTCACATGCATGGTTTCTACTTCGCTACAGGATTTTTGAGCCAGCAAGAAGAACACTTGCTTGTGGCAAGGTATTCCTTCAATCTGACTAAAAACCTGCAGTGGTTGGAGAGCAGCTGAGCTGATTGTGCCCCTCCAGCTGCTCCAGCCATTGTCTTCACTCCTGTACAGAGCAAACAGAGTTCATGTGTTCTGCAATCTCTGTACATGCAGGAGCAAGCACAGCTTCCCGGTGATTGTCAAACTCTGACATTGCTCGGCGACCTTTAAAGCTACAGGGAGAATTAGAAAAGACAGGGCTGGGCGATTACAGACACATAAGGAAGCAAGTAAACAAATAGCTATTAATTTGGGACAGAGACACCGGTGGTCTGAATGGATTGCAGGTGGATCAACTACTCTTTGTTTACATGCTGCCTTTTGTATTAGTACTGACCCACTTGTTCAAGAAAAAAGAAATCCTGTGTTTTTTCTATTATTTTTGTTGCACATGATTGGGTATGGAAAGTGAATATATATTCACCCAATTCACTAAGCTAAGTGAAAAGTCCCAAGTCTTTTAGAAAACCAACCCCAAGGATCATTCTTTATTGTTCCTCCTCATATTGTAAGTCTATGGAGTTGATTTACTTAAGCTGCCCATACACTGTAATATTTCCTGCAGGTTGAATGAAGAAACTAGAGTGTTCCATCTACACTTACAGGTGTTGATCAAAGAATCCCCTGTTGTCTTCATTGCTGTCAGAATACCCAAACAGTGAGCTGTGCAGGTTCATCAAGATCAATTTTTTAAAACATTTTTCTATTCAACAAAACTATTTTCAGTAATGTTCACAAAATAAAATGAATAGAATAATAATGGCCAGAAAGGTAATGAAGACAGCCTCCCCCCCTTTCTTTGGAAATGAGTGTAGTGCTCCCATACATAGGTGCTCTGTGAAAATTTCCCCCTTTTACTTTGATGGTCAATCAGAAAAATCCTCTGTACATGAATGCTCAGTGTGAAGAATACCCCTACATTGAAGGTCAGTGAGAAGAATCTGTTACTTACTGTTACTGGTAACTTACCTGAGAGAAAAATGGAGAGGCTCAACTGATGCCATGAAGTTGGTTCTGCCAAGTCACATTGGCCCGAGCAGGCACCATCAGATGGGGGGGTCAAGGAACCCCTAGTGACCTCTGGAGGAACCCTATGGTTTCTTTCAACCCTGGTTGAGAATGGCTGCCTAAAACTGTATGTGCCTGAATAAGAAATGTGTACTTAACAAGGATAAACAATAGAGACATTGAATAATCATAACTCGCTCTGGCAGTCTAACAATATTTGTACAAGAAGTCAGATAAAGTGCAAAGGTTCAGCTACATTTTCTGTAGTTATTATGTAGTTTACTTTATGACATATCCTATTCTGATACTACCATCTGTATGTTGCAGCAGATTGTCAGATCAAGCAACTTTAGTCCAGTGTTTGATTTTTGAGTTTTGGTTATCTTGTGCCCTTCAAGTTAGCTGACTGGAACCCACATGGCTTTTTTTGTTTTTTTACTTGTATTATGTGCTATATACCCTGTTGTACTTTTTCTGATTATCTGTTTTTGGGATGTAATAAATGCTACACCCTATGGCAAAGAAATTAGGTTGCCTGGATATTGCTTGAAGATTGCATTCTATGCAAGCATATACATTAACTACAACTGCCACCGTCATCTTGTGCCCGTGTGTACCTCCCTTAACTTCTGATTAGACCAATAAGCTGATTTGAAGGTGCGCAGCTACTTTCCTTTCCAATTATGATGTGTATGCCATACTCTCTCTATGGCACCAGTGTAGTAGTAATATCGCAACCATTTCAACTGCATACTATATATGGCTTGGAAAAGCTTCACTGTAAATTGATAAACAGTGCCTGCTACAACAGTGTTACATTTGTAATGTAAAGATGACTGATCAATCCTAATAATACATCTGTTTCCACAGCAACAACCAGGAATATGACACCTGTCAGTCCAAAATCGATATGGATTTATTTTTGCATTATTCTCTTATTCCTTCAGTAAGTAGTATGCTCTTGGTAAAATAATTACTGTACGTTATTTTCATAGCAATATTCCGTTATTTTCTTTGACTAGATAAACTATGGTATTTTAATCAAGCAAATTAGTGACAACAATAGATACAAATCAAGCAGCTTCTCACTTGGCAAACTCTATGGGAAAGTTTTTATGTGTATTTGTGACCCCTGAGAGAGATTTGCACAGGTCTGTAGCAGATTAACCAGTGAAGATGAGATAGATTTTAACTCTAAACATATGCACAATTAAGAACTGGTCAGTGGCAGGTTGTATCCTGTTGAAGTGCTTTAGAACAACTGAGGGAGGATTGTATTATTAAAGCTACAATTATATACTAAATTTGTCTCAAAATCTGTCTCCCTGCTCCTTATTTCCACTGCCTTGCTGAGCTACAGAATGTTCCCCATTGTGTTTACATTTTGGTCCTGATTGAACTGAAAGGTTCAGAGGAATGGAAAATACAAAAAGTTCATTTGAATATGCTTTTAATACTTGTAATGTGGATTTCCCTAGTTATATAAGATGACAGAGTATAATTCTTAAATGTTATTTTTTTATGATTATGTGTGGTATAATATTCAATAAAATATTTATATTTTAAGATATAAACAGAAGCAGACCCAGTATGTATAAATTCTAAAAATTAAGAATTTTGCTTTGACAAGTTACATAGCTGCAGCAATCCACATTAAAAGCATAACGTATTTTTCTGTATTCAGTATTTTAGTGGTACTCAACATATAGCTTAGTAGGTGGTCTCAGCAATCATGTGTTCAGAAGAAAGGAGCACTTTACATTTGTTAAACAAAAAATAAAAAAGACTGCATAAAAACTAGAAGAAAAGAATGGGATCTAGAGAAGTATATCTAGGGATTTGAGAAAGATGTTTAACCTCTTTGAGAAAGGGACCCTGCGTGGCCCCTAAACGTCGGCTCTTTTTGATTGTCGTGACACCATTGTCCAATAAAAAGGACTTATTCATTTTTTAACTCTTTGAGTGCTGGTGACCTATTTCTTCAATTAACCTCTAAAAATATTTTTTTTAAAGTATAACTAATTAAGAAAATTTGTCACAAGCATGTTTAATAAATCTGCTCCTCGTGTAGCTTTTGGTACGATTAAACTGCACATTTGCTCTCAGGGTGGTAGTAACCTCACTACCCATCTTCACCTCTGGGCATAGATGGATATTCAAAAAAGGATGGAGATAAATACTATGGGGGTAATTTATCAAAACTGGAGCAGACACAATCTGCAGCAGATGCCCATAGTAACCAATCAGCTTCTCTCTTCAGTTTGTTCAGTTAAGTTTTGAGAATGAAAGACAGAAGCTGATTGGTTACTTTGGGCAACTGTCTGATTATGTCTGCTCCCGTTTTGATACTTTCCCCCTCAATGTGCTCGTCTCTTATCTATTGTATCTCTGATATAACTCTTTGTCCATGACCCATTGGGACATATAGGTTACTTGACAGAGAAAGAGAATAAAAAAAACTCCTTTAGATTGAATATGTAATAAACTAAAGCTAATCAGTGACCATTCATCATTGTGTAGTAACAATTGTTCATTACAAGTTAGCATAAAAAATGATTGATTGGTTCTAAACATATGATGTGTAAACCAGATTATGTTTCTCTTTCTTAAAGGTTCTAATAATCCTGCTACTTTCCTTTCTGGAGAGACGCACTACTAGGACAAGATTTGATGATAAAATACAATTACTTGATAGAAGGTTTGGATTTGTAATGTAAGTACATACAAAATACTTCCAAGTCTACCATAAGTATGACTAGTGATCTAACCTGCAATGATTAGCACTGAAGATCACTACAGCCCTGTCATTGATAGAAAATGCAATATATGATAGCAGCAAGGACAACAATGAGGAAATACTTAATGTTATGCAAGCACCCTCTGTTTTTAAATATATTATAAAACACTTTCAAGATTCAAGAACACTTTCAAGATTCTCACAGCCGCAAGCATGACTTCCAGAGACAGATGCATCATGGGATTTGTAGTTTCACCACAACTGGAGGCCCGAGGGTTCCCCACCCCTGGTGCAGGTCATTAGTCCTGTCATTTTTTTCTAGTTTATAACCTGTCTGGCAAAATGTGCTAAAGGGAACTACTGTACACCACATATGTTTCAGTAGGGGTCATGAGAGAGATTATAAAGCCTTGTTGCTATCTTTGTGTTAGAAGAATGTGCAGTTAATTAAAAACTTAACTCTTGGCAAACAGCTAAATACAGAGTTAAAACATGCATATGTGAACTGGATTTGTAATTATGTCCAGCCATTTTCGTGATTCATATATTCCTACTAATCCAGTCAGGAGCATGACATCACTTTCCTTGTTAGACGTAAGAAATATTAGGGTGATATTTCCCTACCTTTAGGCTGCTGATTGGTCAATGAAGAGGCAGCAGTGCACAGATAAGTCATCAACTTTGCTTACACTGCTTTCTTCTCCTGTCAGCAAGTCCTAGTATTCCCTCTCAATCTCTCTCAGTCTAAGTACTGTTGTGCAAGAGAGGTAAGATGCTGATATCAGGAGTCAGGTATTTATGCTAGCTGTATGTAAAGATTTATTTAATTATTTTTAAAGGGGTAAACAACTAAAACAGTTTTTATATCTACCTGAAATCTAACTTTAAATGGTGAATTAAGCTGGCACACAATATGGGACCAGTGATATGGGGTAACCTTTTACTAGAGACTGCAGATGGTGCTAAAATGGCCAGCAGATGCGCTGTAAGACTAAAGGAGATAATGAGGTCACCAGCACATCAAGGTCCACTTCATCGATCCATCTTTTATTGATGTTTAGATAAACATGGTGTCACAATCAATGGTGTCACAAGCAAATGCAATGTTTCAGAACCATATGCGGTCCCTTCATCAGGCAAAACCTAGGTGTGCTGGTGACCTCATTATCTCATGTACAGTGGGGCAAAAAAGTATTTAGTCAGCCACCAATTGTGCAAGTTCTCCAACTTAAAAAGATGACTGGACTGCATGGTGTCTTAGAGATTAGCACTCCTGCCTTGTACTACTGGGGTCCTTGGTTCACATCTACGCCAGGACACTATCTACATGGAGTTTACATGTTCTTCCTGTGCTTGCATGGGGTACTTCAATTTCCTCCAAAAGATATGCCATTAGGTTGGCTCCCCTCTAAATTGGCCCTAGTATGTGTGTACAAATTGGTTATGCACATTCAACATACCTGTCCCAAGCCTGTGTAAATGGGGAGGGTTGAGGAACAGATGGTTGAGGAACAGGACCTGGCAACCTACTATGGTTGGCATATCAGACATGGTGCCAGTGGCGTCGCTACAGGAGGGCGATGGGGGGCAATTGCCCCCCCAGGTGAGTGCTTGCCCCCCCGTATGCCCCCCCCCCCGCTAACAGTGGCGGATCCGAGGGACATAGTGTGACCTATGCACCCGCTGCTTGTGCTATGCGGTATTGCGGTGCGACCGGCACCGCAGTGACAGCGGCAAAGGCAGAGTCTATTTTCTGAGGGGGGGGAGCAAAAAATGCCCAGTTCACCCCCGCCGCCCTGAGAAAATAGTCTCTCCCTTTGCCGCTCTGACTGCACTGCCCGGCCGCACGGAACAAGCAGCAGGTGCACAAGTCCCAATCAGGTCCCTCGACGTCACTCGGATCTGCCCCATTGACGCCTCCACGGTTTGTAGCCGCGGAATTTGAACTGTGTGTCATGTCCTCTCGTCGGCTGCGAGGGACACCACTCTCCATCCTGGAAGAAAAAAAAAAACTACTACTTACCTCACCGCTCTCCATCCTGAGTTCCAGGTTGACAGGCTGCAATGTTCCAGTGCCCAGAGAGTTGGCCAAGAGTCAGGAGTCAGATACCACTGAAAGGATATCACACACATAGGTTAACCAAGTGGCGTCACAAGGTGGGTGCGGGGGGCGTGGCCTTCACCGGGTGACACCAAAATGCCTGACCGTCACTTTGGTGTTACCCCCTCTAAAAAAGGCATGCACTCGGTCATGGACCGAGAGCCCAACAGTTGCACAAAAGAGGAGGGGATCAAGCGGCATATCTTATCCCTGCGGGAGAACGCCCCGTCCTCTCTTTGCCGATGACGTCACGGCATGTGTGATGACATCCCAACGGGGTGCCACCCGGCGTCCGCTTCGGGTGACACCATGCCTGGGGACGCCCCTGGGTTAACCTCTACAAAACAGGTCAATGTGACTTAAAGCATTCTGGTCTATATTAATATAGACCATATGTTAATATAGTCTAAATATTTTTTAAAAATCGCCAAGTACATACCTAATTTTAAGTCCTTTATTTGGGATCACATATACTAGCGTCCTCCCGTGACCCAAAGCTCAGTATATAGCGACCTACAGCTCGCGGTATACTGAGACCGCCGCATCCGGGAAGGATCCTGACGATGCTGTAGAGATCCACACAGCTGCGTGAATGACAGCTGGCTCTGCCTATCTAGAGGCAGAGCCAGCTGTATCCTCCCCTCCCCCATACGTTCCTCCAGTAAGCGCTGGAGGATCGGCGTGTGTAGGGGGGGAATCCCTGCGTGGAGCGTAGAGTAACAGTCACGGCTCTCTGCAGGGAAATGATGGAGAAGTGAGCGAGCGACAGTATGCGTTTGCTCACTTCCTGATCTATAGAGCCGACCTGTGACAGTTTCATTGTCACACGTCGGCTCGAACTACGAGGATGAGTGATTTTCACTCACCTCATAGTTCTCCTTTAAGATAACAAAAATGATCATATTAGGAATGTGCATAGTTTATTGTAACATTGCATATACTTTTATTTTGTTTGTTTTTTTGACTGGAGAGACACTTTAAGATTCAATAGAAAATGTCAACACCTGATAGAATTAATGTTCAATTATCATTTGCTTTCAATTATTTTGGTGTACAGGGATTATACCCTGTATATATCTAATTTTCTGCAGCAACATTAACAAAAAAAATCACAATAAGGACCTGTGTTAACAGACTTATTCACATCAGATGAATTTTGCATTCTTATACAAGTCTATGTGAATGCAAGACCCACTTGAAGCAGGTCAACTGCAGGTCAAATATACATTACCTGTCAATGTCATCAACACAAGCCCAATTGCCATGCACTTTTGTGTCTCTATGTAATACCAGCAGGAGTAATTATGTATCCTTTGATTTGCACGTATTCTTATAGAATCAATGCTCCTCTAATCTACTGCCTTTATGTGGTCAGTCCTTTAGATCTAATAGGGACCTTCAAAAATAGATGGACATATGGCTTTGCCTTTGGGGCAATTGCGAACAAAGTTATATCACTTTTTTCTGAGGAATACCTGCCACCAGGTGTGCCATCATGGGCAAGAGGTAGGTATTTTAGTGAATTAAGTCATTTTGTTTTTTTAATTTGTCAGTTACCTTGCTCAGTATAAAAATCCACAGTGATCCACGCTAAAATAGCAGCCAAGACTTTAACCAATAATGAATTTGTATTATCAGAAAAACAACAGACAAGAACAAATAAAGCAGACGGGGTTATGGTAGGATGTGGCAAGAAGCAGTAGAAAAATGGGAAGTAACTACAATATACTGCAGATACACCAAGATTATCTAATTGACATTTACGAGGTGGCAATGCAGCAAAAGGATATGCATACATATGGAAGAAATGTTGAAAGATGTCAGGAGGGGAGGGAGCAAAGTAATTTTTTGTGGAGTTTAACTAAAGAATATTTAAAACTGATCACACAGTACTCTGTTCCTTGCAATGGACTGCCCTTATTGGGGTACGTTCACACCAGATGCAGTGCGTTCCAGTCCGATTCTGGCCGGCTCACTTTTTTATGGGGCAGGAGGGGGTGGCTATGGTGCTATTCACTTCAATGGCCCGCCACGCCCTCCGGCCGCAATGCTATCGCCCACACGGGATCGCAAGGCACATTGTGCCTGCAGTCCGGTCCGGTGCAATCAAAATAGTGCTTGCAGCATTGTGATCGCACCGGACCGCAGGCACAATGTGCCTTGCGATTACAATTACTACGGTGCCATTCACTTCAATGGCCGCCACGCCCCCTCCTGCCCCACAAAAAAAGTGAGCCGGCGGCAATGCGATGCAGTGCGTTCTGGCCAGAATCGGACCAGAACGCACTGCATCTGGTGTGAACCCTTAGACTAACAGATATAATGGGCAGGGGTGTAAATACAAATCATGGAGCCCCATAGCCCCCAGGCTAATTTTGGCTGTAGCAGCTAGCAGTGTCAACTGTAACAATACATGTCATTGATCTTAACAGGAAGTATGTATCAAGGACAGGCATTAGGAGAGCTGTTAGCATAGGCAGTACACTACAAGGGAGCAGTGATGGGGTAAAGGTTATAATAGCAGTAATAATAACACTTATTATATTGTATGATGTTATGATAACATTAATAATGCTCTTGCACACACTCTTTAACCATAATACAAACTCTAGCTTCATTAAACATTTTTTTTGTAGAACTTCAAACCTCACCATTCCTCCAGCAAACTCTGGGATTTGTGACGGTATTAGGCATACAGGGTTCATTTCAGTCTGTAGCAGAAGTTCAGAGGGCACTGCTACACTGCTAAGATACAGTAGATAGGCAAATGCTTCATACTGTGCACAGGGGGGTCTGTGGCTAGACATGGCTATTGTTACTGGATTTGTTCATCTCTGCTGCACATATATTAGGTTGAACAGTACAAAACGTGGTTCTACTATGTTCAAGTAAAGGTGCACAAATCTTTTTGGTTCACATTGGTGTTAGTTTTTGCACACCAATCGCGGGCTTAAAATAAAAATTTCTTATACTGAAGATAGGTATACAACTAAACATATACAATAATGCCCATATATGTCATATCACAACAATCATTAGTTTGTAATTAACTATATATATTAGGTAAAAAATAAAATGATAGTTAAAAGAAAATATAAAATGTTTAGTTAAGTAGCATGTGATGCTGATTTTATCCCATAATTTTATAAAATATTACAAGCTTACCACTAAATATCTTTTTATACAGTAATGTTTCATTGATTTACTTATTGCTCTTGATTTTAGTGTAGAATTAATTTATGCATAGTTTTACAGATATTTATCCTTTTTCTATTTATTTTCTAGCACTTGGCCTTTTAGCGGGAGCTGTTGAAGTTGGATTGTCCTATTATCCAATTTTTGCATGTCTCTCTACAAGCAATACAATAATTGGATCCCTTACAGGATTTCTATATACTCTTACCTGGTGTGTATTGATTTTGTACTTTGCATATTTTCCTGTAGATAATAAAGCTGATTATGCTACCTGTTCACATTTGTTCAATGATCATAATGGGTACAACAGTCATTAACACAGTCTGAAGTATTTATGAATATATTTGTACATATTTCAATTTGTAGTAATTTCAGAAATGTTTTTAGGTTTGTAGTCACAGTGATTGACATTGCATCATGCCCTCATGGGGAGGTAAGTACTATAGATCCTTTCATAGAGTCTCAGGACTTCTCTAAGTTTACGCTATTTTCACTGTAAAATGTTTACTTTATCTTCAGTTATATACTAGAGATTGCAGATACACAGTGAAAGATTTATGCATTTCCTTTTATCTTTATACAGTATAAACGTGTTACACTTTTATTGGGTTTTTCAGATCGTAGGTCAATATGAAAAGGTCATTTTTTATTGGCCATCTCTCTTGTGCTTAATCTTCTTGATGGGACGGTTTGTTCACAAGTTTATAAAGTCCATTAGAATACTGCTTGGAGCTGACATCAGAAATGTAAGTATGGATTTCTTAATGCAAAACACTTAGCAGCAGATGTATAAAGGATCTGCCCAGGGTATAGCTGGGTGAATGCTGTTTACACAGCATTCCTGCCACTAGAAGCAGCCAAGAAACATAGGAAATTCCTATGCCCCTCAGCTCCCTCTAGTGGTAGAATGACATGCAAAAGGCATTTGCCCAGCAATACACTGGAAAAAACGTTTATACATCAGCCCCTTAAGGACAACACTACCATTGAACAATTAATCATTGTATCAAATTAGAAATTGAATGATGGTGGAATAACCCAAACTGTGAGCTGAGACACAGCCTGTGTGGCAGTTTGTTCAGTAGGGAGATAGGTGCCAAGGGCAGCACAAGGTTGCACCTAGTTGATAGACAGTGGAAGGAAATTGTGTGTAGTCAGTCGCCAAGAAGCAAGGATTTATTGTCATGTTCTTTTACTAATTTTGTTTGTAAATAAACTGCACGTGTGTTTTCACCTGAAAAATTGTTGCTTTCTGTGCCTATTTATTGTGGTGAACTCATCCAGAGAGTCACACATACTCGCTGCTGAGCTAACACCCTCGCAATAGTCAGCATTTGGTCTCTACCTCTGTGACAATGGTCCATGCCACACTAGCTACACGTCAGCAGATTCCTGCAGTTATCATGGTTCTGTTTGCTACTAGGTTCGCTAAGAGCTCATGCACACATGTATTGCACAGCAAACACAGGCATATTTTCATACAGCGTACAATACGCCTGTATTTGTGGCACCTGTGAGCCACAGCTCCTCTGGTTTTCTGTCGATAGCAACGTATAGACAGAAAACCCTGTACTCAGGTGTACGCCCACAAACACTGGCACTTGTTTTCTAATACAAAAAACGTCAGCGCTCAGAAACATACCACTGTGTGCGCACCAATGCCGTTGCAGGTGTACACCCAAGTACAGGCTTTTCTGCCCATACAATGTAATGGACAGAAAACCACAGTAGCTGCAGCTCCTGGGCACCGCACATATAGGACAATTTTACGCTATATGAAAATACATCTGTATTTGTTCTGCAATACACCCGTGTTCATGAGCCCTTATAGTTGCTTTTAGGAAGTGAATAAAACCTTAATTCAGATACAGTTCAGACACATTAAATATTGAATGTCAGTTTTACATTAGCATCATGTTAAAAATATTTTTGTTCAGTTGCTTAAACCAGATGCTTGATTCTGTTTTATTTTACCTTCTAATATTTTTTTTTTACCATTTCTATTTTTGCTCCAGGAAGAAATATGTTTTCTACCAAACCATCAAGCTGAGCATGTAAAAAGACTCTTCAGAAAACCTATAGAGTAAGTTTGGGTGTCGTTTTAGCACACTGTGCATTATACTTAAAGCACTTAATACCATTTTAGGTTATGTTTTATTTTCAGTTAAACACCATTCATAGCATTTAGCTTTAATTGGATCGCCCTTTACTGTATGACCACAGATTTGTTTAGCTGCCCAGTTCTGTAAACTAATGGTAATATAAGGAACTGTTTTCTAAATGTTACAAAATTAAGTTTCTAAGAAAAGTGTATACAAATAGTAAATATATATAAATGTAAATATATAAAGCACACCGCTTTCGGTGTGAGCAAGGCCTAAATGTGTTCTGACACTGTCCTTCCTTCTGCAGGGTGGCTACCTTTGTTCCCCATGGTCCGTGTGTGTGTTGTAATGTAGCTACCGCTCCAAGCTCACTCCTGTAATGGACTACAATCTCACATTTACTTTACTACTTACTATATTGAGATTGTAGTCCATCACAGGAGTGAGCTTGGAGTGGTGGCTACTCTACAACACACACAGAGACCATGGGGAACAAAAGTAGCCACCCTCAAAAAGTAAGGACAGTGTCAGCACCAATTCAGAGATTATTTGAGGATCTACAGCTGAGTGATGCACAAATAAGATACATTTTTGTTAATAGGGTACGTGAATGTATTTTTAAGATTTAACACCTTTTAGTGTCATTTTAAAAGGAGAATTATGAGGCGAGTGATTTTCACCCAGCCTCATAATCTGAGCCGACCTGTGACAATGAAACTGTCAGAGGTCGGCTGTGAAACTGTCACAGGTCGGCTCAGTAGATCGGGACCTGAGCGAACACATACCGTCGCTCGCTCACTTCTCGATCTATCCGTGCAGAGAGCCGTGACTGTCACTCACGGCTCCCTGCAGGGATTACCCCCCCTCCCCTGTCCGATCCTCCAGCGCTGAATGGCGGAACGGACGGGGAGGGGGCGGGTTCAGCTGGCTCTGCCTCTAGATAGGCAGAGCCAGCTGTCACTCACGCAGCTGGGAGAATCCAGACAGCATTGTCGGGATCCGTTCCGACTGCGGTGTCTCAGTATAGCGCGAGCTGTAGCTCGCGCTATACTGAGCTTTGGGTGACAGGAGGATGCTACTTTGTGTCCTCCCGTTACACTTAGGAGAACTATGGGGAAAAGTCCTTACCCCACAGTTCTCCTTCATAATTGTCGGGATCCGCTTCAGCTGCGGTGTCTCAGTATACTATATTATTATATATTATCCCTTGCTTATGGTAATTTTTAGTTTAATATCTTCAACTTATGGATTGTTCTAATGTGTATTCATTTGACAGAGAAGATACGTTTTCACATCATTGCATATATATTAATCACTTAGTGCTGTATTTGCTTTGTTTGTCTGTAAACCCGGAGGGGTATTCACACATCTGCTTGCACTGGTTTAGGTTTTAGGATAGAAGGCAGATTTCAGTGATGTCTTATGTATTTGACATGTGACCACACGCCTTTCCATATAGTCTATCAATGTAACTCAGAAATAAATGCAGTTCAAGTCCATTCAAGCAAACTAATTTCAATATGCATAACTTCAATGCAGCGTAATCCATATAAATGAGATCCCACATATTTCCACCAAGTCATTTTTGTATTCAGTTTGCAGCTATGATAAATCATGCATGGAAATGCAATCTCAGCTTTATGTATGAGATATGTCACTTCAAGGCAAATATGCTGATAAAGTTATCATGTGGCTCCTTAATATATGTGTCAGTATTTGCAAAGTTAATATGGACTAATTTTAATAACTGTTGTCTGTACAAGGTGATATACCATGGGAGTCAGTGGGTGGGTAAACCAGGTAGGCCTAAGTGATGGATGGAGCACATGTCCCTTGACATGTTTCGATGCAAACTTCAGACTCAACACCAGACTCAAAAGGGGTGTTCTCTAAAGTAACATGTCATGTAATCCCTATGGCTCTTAGAAGATCACTTGCCTCCGCTTTAGAGGGGGGACTGCCTATGAAGCATTCCACTTTAGAGTCCAAACTAACACTACACCAGGAAGTAGTTAATAATTCATATCACCCAATATAGTACATAACATACAAGTGCATAGAGTGTTGTGCTGTCTGACCAGGCCTGCAGGTGGTCAGGTATGAACCCAGTTGGGGTCTGAAACTGTTCCTTAGATAGAGAACCATGGATTAACTTCATCTGCCTGAGGTGCCAGAGAAGCCAGGATGGGCTTGGAGCTTGCAGAAAACATGAGTTGATTACCTGATAACTCTGTTTCCAGGAATCTTCCAGGACAGCCATCGAGATATAGGCTCCGCCTGCCTGCAACAGGAAACACATCAACCACATTAAATAAATAGACTCCTTCCATCCCAAGTCAGTAACCTCTAGGACCGAAGGCTACCCCATGCACAAAAGTATCCCCTCCTTCATCCAACCACGGATGCCACCTGGATACACACCAAGGGCGGGGACTGGCTGTCCTGGAAGATTCCTGGAAACAGAGTTATCAGGTAATCAACTCATGTTTTCCCCAGTCATCTTCCAGGACAGCCATCGAGAGGATCAGTGAGGACAAATCTTACCTCCTAGGGTGGGACCACAGCCTGCAGGAAAGGTCTCGCCTAGAGAATTCTGTGCTATGTCTGCTAACCAGCTAAGGTTCTACAACAGTGAGGTGCCATGCCTTCTGTGCTGGGTGAGGCATCCCCCATCCCACCGAAGCTCCACCCCCCTCCTGCCAAAGCTCCTGTCCCGTCAAAGCCCCGCCCCAGCTCGGTAACCAAGCTATGTGGGGAGGAGGAAGGGAGGAGACAGAGAGGAGCCTCCCTGTCCCTCACTTGCTCGTCACTGATCGATGCCTCACCTGCCTCCCCTAACCGCACGTCCCTGTTCTACAATACACAGTGTTAATGCAATCAGTTATAAAAGTCTTCTGAAGTGTAAAGCTGGGAACCTTTAAAAGAAATCCTTAAAGTGACTGGCGCCCAACTTTACACTTGCATCGAACAACCGGCTAAGGTAAAATGTCAGTCCACCCTGCCTTTTAAGCCCACCACAGGGGGTGCTACATCTGTGTCCCTCTTGCAGATTTTCTGTCACTGCCTGTCTCCTGAAGCCATTGCATAGCAGGACTGGCACTGTGTATAAATCTCTCTAAGTGAGGCCCAGGTAGCAGAAAAAAATCTAATCTATCTAATTGAAAAGTTTTTGACTTGACGTACACTTTATAGGTAAGGCTAAACAAGTTGAATTACCCAATTTAGCTTCTTAGACTTCTCATAGAGATCTTTGTGCCTGAATTACAATCTCCTTTTAGCTCTTACATCCCTAATGACTGCAGAGATTCACTCTTTCTATGTGTACTGTTGACCACCACCACGACTGGATGTGAGTGGAAATCCAAAATTGTGAGTTGTCTCAGATACAAGATAAATGTCCATATTCACCAAATTTAGTTGCGCTAGGATGAGAAATCTAAAATTACCAGCTGCAACAATGTATATAACGTGATCAATGTGAGCCAATATGTTGCGCTATAGCTATTTTAAACCATTCGTACAAGTGTGCTGGTGTCCATACCATAAAATGTTGTTTTAGTACTGAATACCGTGATAGTGAATTTCATAAAATTCTGTAATACATAAGACTGTGTAGAACATTAAAAGAAAAATAAAAGAAAAATGATCACAGACAATAGACCTATCTATTGTTAAGTGTCAGCAATCGGTGTAAACATAAGTGTATAACCAGAAAATCTGAAAAACTAGTATAATCAAAAATTAAGGTGTTTGTGACAATTGATAGAAAAATCGCAAACAATCGATGGAATACAAAAAGTAGGGTTAATCAGTTGGTCTGATTTGCAACAGAAATTGATGGCAGAGCTCTTTCTATATATTTTGAATAACATAAAATATATATTAGGCCGTATTCACTTGTTCTTGTAGACTACTTAAGATCGGCTTAAAAACAACAGTTCACAATGTTCATATATAGAACGGATTGGAGGGTAGGCAGAGTTCTTTCAAAGCAAGAAAAATATTAATAATAAGCGGGTCTCTATTACTTTAGTTCCATCGACGAGTCCACGGAACACCTATTTAGGCATCTCTCTCCCCTTTCCTCCAATAAGCCAGCACTTCGATCTCGGTTGCAGCGTTTTGACAACCTCCAGGTGTAGTTGGAAAAAAACCAGATGTCCAGCTAGGGACACTTGCCGCAAGAGGATTTCCCTTACTTTGGAGAGATTTTCTCTGTTTGCTGTGTCTACAGGAGAGCAAATGAAGGGAAATCTCCCCAACAGAACATAGACAGCAAAAAATAAACCTGACAGGGGTTTTAACCTTTCCCTACTCTATCAAAAAAAAAGTTTGGCATTTTAAACATTATTTAGTTTATCACATTCTTAATCCTGAGAACCATTTACCTTGGGTTTTTTTCTCCTTTTCGATATATTTTACATACTTCTAATGGGAAACATTATTTTTATTGCAGGGTGAAGAAAACCTGGTTTGAAAAGAAGATCTACACATGGGATCCAAATTTTAAGTTTCCGAGCAGAATGATTGGCACTACTGTGTTGTCGTTGTTTTGCCTTTACATTGTAAGTCACAGTAGACTGTCTTAATCCAGCTGGATTCCTAAAACTCGCCAAACAGCCGTGCAAAGGGGGTGATTGTTGTACGGTCCCAAAGCTCATCAAGTCCTCTCAGACTCTGATAGAAGGTGGCCTTCTATCAATAGGCCTCAGCCTTCATTCCATAGACTTTGCATTCCACTGTGTTGCATGGATGTATATTGCTGCATGCAGTGGCGGACCTATTGCAATAGTAAACCAAGGCGGTCACTATGGGGGCGCGGAGCACAGGGGGGCCCAGCCAGGACCAGTAACAAAGGGGTCCTTCTGATGCCGCGCAGGCCAACTTTGCCGTTATGGCATCAGGACTGTCACTGGCGGCTGTGAGGAGGAATGCGCAACAGTGTGATCCTGCTCACAGCCACTGCTGAGTCAGAGACAGCCAGCAGCTGAAGTAAAGGAGGCCCTGCGGTGGCGGAGGCCGGGCAGTTGCGGCGGTGGAGAAGGAGGCCGGGCGTTTGTGGTGGTGGAGTAGGCAGCCGGGCAGTGGCAGCGGTGGAGTAAGAGGCCCATCAGTGGCGCTGGCGGAGGAGCAGGTAAAGGGACCCCAACCAGCCCACCTGAGACCCTGCAGAGAGTGTGGGATCTCAGGTGGGCTGCGCGGGTCTCAGGTGGGCCCTGCAGGGTGTCAGGTGGGCTGTGTGGGGTCTCAGGTGGCTGTGCGGGGATCTCAGGTCTCAAATTTTGCCATGGGGCCCTGTGATTTCTAGTTACACCCCTGGCTGCATCTGTCTGCAATTGCTTTGGATTTGTATTGTGCTGAGCATATAGACCAATGTGAAGGTTCTGTATACAGTGGTTATGAGCAGGAATTCTAGTGACAATATCAGAAAGTCATGTAGCCATGCAGAACTTTTCATCATATTTTCTTCCCATTTTGAGTTGCAGCTGATCTGCATAGAAATGGAAAACACTTTCCCTCTGACTGCAGCTAAACGGGACATTTTGGATTCCTGCCACAGGAATCTAAAATTGCATAGTGTGAACGAAGCCTAAATGTCCATTCTGTATGATGCTATTGAAAACTCATTGCCTGCATTTATATGTGTTTTAAAATGTGCTATAAACTCAGGTTTGACAAAGCAAGTGTGAATAAGGCCTTGGTTTACTTACACTTCTCAGATCAATTTCTCCTGTGTTAAGCACAGGAGGCCCATGTGCATGTGACCTTCTCTCCAACAAGAGAACAAAGAAGTTCATAATCACAGTTCCAAGAAACCCCATGAGGCTGCAGGGAATATCTGACAGCTACCATATAACTGGCTCCTGCTCCTCTACTCCAGGGTGGATGATTACAATTACAAATAATCAAGTAAAATCAGGAGGCACTACATAACAAGTGCTAAGTGATTAACAAGCTGATTAGTGTTACTTTAAAAAAAAAAAAAGCTTTTATCATTTAGCTTGTAATGTTCGTTTTTTCTTGCAAAAATTAGTAACTGCCTGAAGGTATTTTATCAGAAATGTTAAATAAAGTGCATTAAAAATGTTATATATTTAAACAATTAAAAAAAAGAATACTTTTTTATTCTTTTTTTTATTGTTTAAATATATAACATGGGACATACGCACCTATGGCTGTGAACACAAAAGTTGTAAAAGTAAATATTTTTCTTGTGGCAAAATGAGCACATATATAATAATACAATGTAATGGTATTAGATAGCTTCAGTTTTTATAATATTAAATGGTTTTATTTTCACACAACTTGTTTAAATTTTTTTTTCATGTTTCTTTTACAGTTGGTCACTATAGAGTACAGTGTATTTAGATTCGGTGTGAGTCTGTTGCAGAGCTTCGAGGCACGGCTAGAAGCACAGACAGCTGACGTATCTTGGGATGGATACAATAGTTCCGTTGCCTCATTTAAGGAATTCAATAGCAACTTAGTAGGTAAGCAGCAGGTGCAATATTTTTTATTTTAGGTCTCGATTGAGCTAGTGTTTACTGTGAATTATAATTGTATAATAATCATAATAATCATCAATAATAATCATAATAATAATTTACAACACCTCCAGTTCTGTGACTATCTGTCATATAATATCCTTCCAACATTTTTAGATGCAGAAGTTGTTCAAACCTTCATGGACTTCCTTTACCAGTTTTTACTTTCTCTTCTCCTAAGTATAAGGAGCATTGAAATTAGAAATAAATGCAATAGATTAAATATTTTAATTTGCAGCCTACTGTTTGTAAAGTGCACACCAAGGCCCAGAAGTGGCAACATAAGACAGTGGGGGAAATTGGAGCAGACATAATCTGGAGCATTTGTCCATAGTAACCAATCAGCTTCTACCTTCAGTTTGTTTTGAAATGACACATAGAAGCCGATTGGTTGCCATGGACAACTGCTCCCAATTGTTTCTGCTCCAGTTTTGATGAACTACCCCCAATGACTTTACTTTAGCATGTGTTCATTACATGTAAGTAAAGGGCAATAAAAATGTAGAGAGGACACATAGAAGGGAATTCATCAAAACTGGAGCAGGCAGATTATGGAGCAGCTGTACATGGCAACCAATCAGCTTCTCTCTTTCATTTTAAAACATCAAATTCAGCCTATATTTGTGTATCATTTTGAATCATTAAGAATTCTCATTGCCCTGGACTTTATGTTCACTGAAGATATTTATTAACACTCTGACACAACTGATACTACTTCAGGGAGTAGTTTCACATTTTTAGTGCTTCTACAGTAAAGAGCTCCCTTTAAAAGCAGAACTACAGGCACAAAGATTTTCATTCAAATATATTCCTCAATAGCTCCTTATACTTTATATCCACCTTGTGTGCACCAAATGCCTTTGTATACCCAGATGTTACCTTATCGGTGACATCATTACACACTGTACATAGCCTGTGCGGAGAGCAGAGCTGTGGACAAGACGCAGCAGATCCTCCCAGAACAGGCTGCCTGTGTTCTATCAAAGTTTTCAACTACGTTGGAATGTGTGACCAGTGACGCGGTCACACATTCCACCGTAATCCCGCCCACTTTGACAGTGGTGGAATGTGTAATCGGCTCACTGCGCATGCGCGGGAACAGCTGATCGTTCATAAAATTTCACGGTCGAGTTCCCTCCACTGTACTTGTCCTGCCTTTGCGACCATGTTCAAAAATAAAAATTCAAACGAAGTATATATTCAATCAATAATAAAGACAATAATACAATTATTGTGTGTATTTTAAGAATATTATGTTAAGTAAAGTTAACTATAAATTTACTAATTTATATTTAATGTTGCTGCTGTCTAAACAAAACAAACTTTTTAAGACTATTTTGCTGAATTTAGCTGAATAAACAAAGTTCAGCGGGGCTTTTTTTTTTGTACCATTACCCTTTATGCACTATTTGTTTTGACGAAAACTATTGTAAATGTTGTGTTTAGCTGCCCCTGGAAAGTGTAGCAGGAGCTGTACTTCTTGCTTCCTGCCACAGTTCTGGTGACTTGTTATGATGCTGTGGCTAGAATATGAAATAACCTGGGCCAGATTGTTCATTGTGTTCTCTTCAAGCATCCAATCATTTGAAGAATAAGCTCTGTGTTTTTCATTTCTATAGTTAAAGTGTAATAAAGTTTATTTTTTTTACATATATCCACTGCTAGCGAGCAGTAGATATATGCCAAATCATTTTGAAAAATAAAAAAAGTTACCAAAGAGGTAAAAGCTTACCTCTGTCTCCGGTGCTAGCTCCCATCTGTAGAAATCGGTTTCTTGAGCGGCCGTGCAGGAGGATGGGGCAGACACATGCTCAGTAGAGATCACAAGCGGGGAGAAGAGATGAGACACAGTGGAGGTGAATGCACTCAGCCGTAAGTGTGCACGTCGGACAGACAGCATGGGACACAAGGAGTCTGCGCTGGATCAGAGACTGGCACCAGTGCTAGAGGGATTGCTGAATACAAGCGGAAGGAAGAAGATGATCAGATCAAGAGGCATTATTTAGGTCCTTACTAGGGATGCACAGATACGTTTCGAGTACCAGTGCCGATACTTGGCTGCAGCGGTTGCAGCTAGGACCGGGCTCTGGCACTCCACCACTGTCCTGAAATCATTAGTCTGTATTGCTTTAGAAAAACTGTCACATGACAATAAACAAAAATGTATCAGTACTCGTACTTGTAAGTACTCGGCAAGTACCAGTACTCATACTCGCAAAACTGGTATCTGTGCATCACTTTTTTTACATTTATAAAAACAAAATCGTACATTAAAACAGAGATGTACAAATCCCAGGAGCTCCGTGTGCTCCTTACAAATGACAGCTGCCTCCTAATTTTTGAATTTTTCTCTAGTGTAGTCTTGGAGCTCAAAAGTATCGGTACATGCACTCGTACTTGTATCGAGTACTGTACTTGGTATCTGTGCAACCCTAGTCCTTACGGCAGCTTTTGTTTGAGGGGGGGGGGGATTTTAATGTCACTTTAAATACATCTGTCATTAAAAACTATAGCTTTTTTCCATATTTGTAATCAGACCAAGAACAATAATCAGTGCCTCATATGTTAAAGTAACTCTAAGTAAAAATAAGCTACCCACATATATAAAGTGCAAGCACCTAGAGGGTAGAGAAGTACACCATTATTAAGAATTGCCATAACTTTGTCAGATCAGAATAGCCCAGTATTTGGGCATAGAAAGGGCAACCTCTAGGTCCCTGCACTGTATACTGCTAGAAGTATTAATTACATTAGTTGGCTGTCAAGCCATAATCCAAAGGACAAAAGATAAGGATTGCTGCACGTACGGTACAAATATATTTGCCTTGGCATCCAATAAATAAAATCTTTGTATTTTAATCCTCTTCAGGTGTCTGGTATTTCACCACTATGTTATCATGTGCAGTCTCTGTGTCGTATGTCTTTCACATTTTAGTCTGCTACAGGTAAGACCTCGATGTTCAGAAATGTATTGCTTTTTCTATATTTTATCCTTCCATAATTAAATTGATTCTAACTTGTTTACTCAAACTTAAAACATTATGGCTTTGGTTATTTCCTATGTATAAATGCTCATTATTATTTCCTGTGTAAGGAAGTTGTTGGTTTATTTATATAATTTAGCATATAATTTAGTAGTACTGAAAAATCACTCATGAAATAGAAGGTATCTGCATCTCTCAATTCTGACACAATTGCAAAAAAACAAAACAAATTGAGTTTATATGTAATGATACTATGTACCGTATTTGCCGGCGTATAAGACGACTCGGCGTATAAGATGACCCCCCTACTTTTTGTGTTAAAATATAGGTTTTGGGTTATACTCGTCGTATAAGACGAGTATAGCCCAAAATAATGTTTCAATGCACCCACTAACATCCATGGTGGTATTCCCGAGTGTGGCTCGGGGTTAATTTTCAGTACCATAGGCGGTAACCCCGAGCAACAATCGGGATAACAGTCTCTTACCTTGTCCACGATCCCCGCTGTGTCCTCCATCTTCCGCTGAGTCAATCACGGCAGGCTTTGTATTAATGAATACAGGCTTTGTATTAATGAATACAGGCTTTGTATTCATTAATACAAAGCCTGCCGTGATTGGCTCAGTGCTTTATACTGTATGTAGCCAAAGCTACATACAGTATACCATATCCTTCTGTATGTACCTGGCATATAAGACAACCCCCGATTTTTGGGGGATGTTTTAAGGTTTCAAAACCTGTCTTATACGCCGGCAAATACGGTAATGATACTACACTGGGATGACCATGAAGACCATGCATGATCTACCATGCAGATTATTCCTTTTTGCCCAGGGCCAACTAGGCACCTGGCTGCTTTAAAGCACAGAATACAGCCTTATATGATAGAGCAGCGATGACGAACCTATGGCACATGTGCCACAGAGGGCACGCAGAGGCCTCTCTGGTGGCATGCGAGCCTAGGTGCTGGTTGCCAGGGCCTGCACATGCCAGGTTCTCACCTGGGGTTCTCAGCACGGGCCTTCGGCGTCCCACCGTTCTCTGCGTCACATTAAGTTTTTAGAGATGGCCACCGCGAATGGCGACCATCTTTAAACCTGGAAGGTGCCCAGATCCTATTTAATACATTGCCGAACCGGCAATATATTAAATTAAAATCATGTAGTGGTGGTCCAGTGGAGGATCAGCATGATCTGCATCTCTTGCAGATGCAGACCTTATGAATCACTCCTTCTTGTGAGTGATGGCGCCACTAGAGTGATTAGTATGGCCGTGCTCGGAAGTCTGACGTGCATTGGTTCTGGTCTCAGGTCTGCCGTACTTTGGTTCTGGTCTGCAGTCTGCAATTTTTTTTACAGTACTACTGGCCTGACCAGGGCTGTGTGACCGCGTTTCAAATTTCTCTGCCTACAGGCTTCTGAGGAGTAAATCCGGCCTTGCTGATATGTGTGTGTTTATGAATGTGTGGTTATGTGTGTTTGTTTGTGTAAGTGTAGAAATGTTTGAATATCTGTGTTTCCCTATTTTGCCAGTCAGTGATGCAAAAAGGTTTTTAAACCTCAGTGCTCAAACGAAAACACAATACCAAACTTATTTTCAGTGTTGGTACTTTGAGATAAATACATTGATTTTGCGTTGCAGTTTGGGAACTCGGGCTCAAAAACGTTAACCATCACTGAGAGCCATTTATTCCAAAATGTATCAGATGTTTCAGACCTATTGTTAGTCTATGGTTAATGGACAGCTTCTTGTTCAATTTAAGCCCACCTTACTATAACCAGTCTGGGTAAATGAGATTAAACTAATGACAAGGCAAGCCTATTTACCTTTACCTTATCTTTAGAGGGTTTTTTGGGCCTATTCATTACTACTGCTCGGAAAATAGATTTCTAAAGATCTGATTAAAGATCTGGTTTTACATACATAAATATTGCACGGTGTTATAGAAAAAAAAATATGAAAAGTAAATTGATAAATATATAACCCCAAAATAACTAATGCAAAGTGCAAAAAAAAAAATCTTCAGAGTGCATCAACCATTCAAAAACTCTGGGCAGAAGGAAATGTAACCCTTGCAGTGGGTTACCCCCGCACTGCAAGGGTTAAGTGCACATTTTGGTCTAGGGTTTAAAATAACAAAGTTATACTAACCCAAACCTCAATGCCACCTTGCTGCTAGATTGGTCTCTTCAGCCTTTCCCCCTGCCGCTCTGGAGGTGTAATGTCCCTCTGCTTTCTCACATCCCCTTGTATTGAACGTGAGGACTCACAGGTTCTTAAACCACCAGAGCAAGGGGGAGAGGCTGCAGCGACCGCTCTAGCAACCAGGCATAGGTTAAGTCTTCTTCTGCCCAGAGTGACAAGCCCAATTATTACTCACAATAAATATACAGGACCAAAACTAGAAGAATGGGATGATTGTTATACTTTGCAGATCTGCGGCGCTGGCTAAGCACCTAATATTGTGTGTTTTTATTGTTTTGCATTTTAATAAACAGTTTTAACAATCTTACAATATGGGAACATCTGTTATTATCTTTTCTTCTGCCATTGCCGTATAAGGGGAGTCGGGGAAAGCATCTGCTGGTGTATGGTGGTCGCTTTTTGGGGGAGTCGTATGTAGAGGAGACCAATCAATAATAATGGTCCATCCTCTCTGGTGAGTCTATTGAATCTGGAAGGAGGATTGAATGAGCACCTTTGGAACGCATATTTGATATACTTTGGACATTTAATACGCAATGGCACTTTTGTGGACATTTGAGTTTGTCTCATATTGGCAGCTGTATATTTATTGTGAATATTAATTGGAGTTGTCATCCTAATTGTTTATGCACTTTGAAGATTTTATTTGCACTTTGGCTCTTTACATTAATTATTTTGGGGTTAGATATTTATCAATTTAGCTTTTTTTACCATTTTTTTTAAAGCGTGGCGCTATATTTATTTATGTATATATTTATGGGTGGTTAGATCACTTTGGCACAGCTGCTGTGAGGGATACAGTAATACTTCGGTTCACGAACGCTTCTGTTCGCGAACAATTCGGTTCGCGAACAGGAAGTTCGGCAAAATTTTGCTTCCGTTCGCGATCTCCAAATCAGGTGATGAACACGACCGCGGCCAACTTCCCTGCTCTGGCACGTGGTCGTGGCTTCCTCTAGTCGAGATTGTGGTTGCAGACAGACCTGTGCACACTTGCTGTGAAGCTTTTTTGTGTGCCTTTTAGCACATACAGTACTGTACAGTATTATTCAATCCAGCATGGCTCAAAAGAAAGTGCAGAACAAGCATGGGGGTAAAAAGAAAGTGCAGAGCGGTAATGAAGGTGACAAGAATGTTAAGAAAGGATTAACCTTATTTACATTGAACCTTATGTGAAAATCTTATTCTGTTCTAGACCACGTTCATAGGGGTCAGAACGGATTAACCTTATTTCCATTGAACCTTATGGGGAAATTTGATTCGGTTTGCGACCAATTCGGTTCGCGACCAGAATCGTGGAAGGAATTAAGTTGGTGAGCCGAGGTACCACTGTATTTGGGTTTAGACAGGTGCACAGACATTATTGAAAGTTTTGTACAACAAATCAAGTTTGTTTCCTTTTTTTCACAGAAAACATATGAAGAGACTCCAGATTGGGGAAAAGGGGTTTCTTCCCATAAAATGTCACAATCCTTCACCTGCTCAGTCAGTGGTAAGTTTCTTTTCAGTGTAAATGTTTGCACCGGTATGCTGTGTCAGAAAATGAATAGGCAATATCTTGAGTCGATGTTTAACCCTTTCGCTGCCAAGCCCTCCGGAACATTTTTCAAATCAGCTGCCCAAGCCATTTTTGAATTTTCTGCAATTTTTTCCTATTGATTTGATTTTCAACTGCTGCGTTGCTAGCGTTTGTAAAAGACCCCCCAAACCATATATTTTCTGAAAGCGCAGAGATTATTACCAGGTTTCGCTCTTTTGCAAGCTTCTATTATCATGTAGTGCGCACGAAAGTGTTGACTGTAATAAGTATGCGAGTACAGCTCTTACCTGAATCTGGTGGCACCCCTAAAATCCTGTTACATAGTGAAACAGATAGTTGCACTGTAGAATATGCAACTTAATTCAGCGGCATGCTTAAAGTTAAGAAAAATGGTTAATGCAAACAGAGCAAGAAGGTCAATAATCAAAAGTGGAATCACTGTACTTTCAGCTCTCCTTATCATCTTAGAAAAACAGGCTCCAACTTCTCTGTTGTCCTATAGGAACAGACCAAAGAGTAATTTGACTAGAAGAATCCAGCAGGTTGTCTCTCTCTAAGCTAAACCTTTTTTTTCCTCAATAGAGTGGGAAAGGGGTAGACCATTTGTCATCTTATTATTGTTGACTGTACCCCCATCACAGGGATCCCAACCTGAAAGAAGCAATTTCAGGGAGGTGTCCCTCTCATTTCAGGGAGGGGCTGGGAGAGAGCACCCCCCTGAAATGATGGCAGATAGAGCGCAGGAAGCAATAGCTTCTTTGGTATCTGCAGGCTTTTTTTTTTTTTTTAGTATTCTGACAGCTGCAGTCAGAATTAAAAAAAAAAAGGCATAAGAATGCATAGCTAGATTCCTATTCGCTATTTCACTTTGCAATAGCCAATAGCAAACTAGCTATTGCACCCGCCCTCTGCTGCTTTCATTCACCAGAAGAGGACCTGATAGAAAAATTCAGGTTCCCCTCTGCTGATTGAAAGCAGCAGTGGGCGGGTGCATTAGCTAGTTTGCTATTGGCTATTGCAAAGTGAAATAGTCAATAGTAATCTAGCTATGCATTCGTATGCCTTTGTTTTTATTTTCTGACCGACGGACAGGCCGTGGCTCCCGATGGCAGAAGAGAAAGAAAAAAAACGCATTGAACAGATTAAACCTTTCCGGGAGGAAATGTTTCTCTCCCGGGCGGCCTTTTCTAGATACCGTTAGTAGCGCACATATTGGTTTTATTTGTTGCCTGGAATAACTTTTTAGCCACTGCACATTTATTGGTTTTGGTTTTCAATGTATTTACATTTTAAGCAACTACTATATATACTGAAATTCATAAGCATGCTGTGTTGATAAAAAATAAATGTAAATGTTCCTTTTTTGTCATGTTGCAGGCTGCTATAGCAAGATATACTGGCTGGCAAGTAGCATATATTTTATGGGGTAAGCCTTCTGTGCTAAGTAGAGAAGAATTTGATTGTGTTCTGTTCTTTAGACTGAATAAATGCTGGTCTTATATTTCAGGTTACCTAATACTCCACATAGTCCAGTGCATGTTCGGCATGGCTTTTGTTTATGCATTTGTTGTTCCATTAAAATCCGGACAAGCTCTGGTATTTCTAAGAGGCCTCGGAATTTCCATGTAAGAACAATGTGTATTTTAGATGTTTTAATTAATAATTTTATGAAAGTACAATAGCTATTAACATTTTTGAAGATTGCTTATACACAATGTAATGGAGATTGCCCCCTCCCCACAACATACTGCACATGTGTGTCAGTGCTGTGTATGACTAAAAAGCACCTATAAGGACCAGTCTACAATTAAAGCAGAATTTAATTATCTTTTTTTAATCCAAACACTTTAAAATTACAATTTTAAAATTGTGCATGCTTTCTTGTAAATCTGTTTTACCATTATCAGTATTTTATGTTATAGTTATTATTATAATACAGGATGTACATAGTGCCAACAGTTTGCGCATCGTTTTACAAAACTGAAGGAGACAATACAATTAACAATACAATTTCAGTACCGAAGGTAGCTCGTGAGAGCTTACAATGTTATCCATATTCCATTGTGTAGAGTCCTTTCGTCATCAGCTGGAGGTGATTAAGGGGTGCTACCATCTAAGGACAGTGATATCATCATTCCCTCACAGGAGGATTTCTGTGGGAATTTTTTTTTTTTTTATTCTTTACCAAGAGCTGGGTAAATAATAAGGTGGTTCTTTCCCCTTCTAATCCTCCTGGTATCCCACTCTATTGTAAACCACTTGTTACTCGATTGAAAAATGCAGCTATGAAAAGCCTATAACCTTTGAGCTGTTTAGTCAGCAGAGCTGAAACAAAGAGGGCATAGAGAATCACAGGTCCTGCACTATGGAAAAGGCACATAGTTCTGCAAGTGTGCATGTATGCACTATTTTTTTACAGTGTTTGCGTTAAAAAAAAAGTTATTTTATATGCTAGCGTAATTGTGCCCTTTCCAGAACAGGTAAGATTGGGGATCTAGCACTAAGTTGGCTGAAGATCTGAGTGGATAGCCCATTCTACCTAAAACCAATCACTGTTTACAAGCGTAACACACAAAGATTTTCAGTATTTTTTTTTTTTTTTTATATAATGCACTGTTATCTTTTAAATGCTAGATTTTAAATGCTAGATTTTAAATGCACTGTTATTTTTTAAATGCTAGGTCTGCATCAGGTTTGGTACCCACAAACCATCTGGACTGCAGGTGTTACACTGGTACATTCAGACCCCTTATGAGATATATGTAGGTAGGAAAGTTACAAACTCAGAGTGCAGTAGTAGTACAGAAGGTATCTATCTAGTAGATGTTAGCAAACCTATGCTAATGTCATGTTTGGTTGTAAACGTTTGTGGTTTTCAATGCAAGAATAAAGCCACCCTACCTTCTCAGAACCAAAACTCCATGGGGACAGCGGTGCTCAGCATGAATCTCTGCCGGAGCCAATCAACAAAATGAAGTGGAAAAGAGTTGGCACTCATATAGAGCTGCAGCTAACGATTATTTTCAAAATCGATTAGTTAGCCAATTATTAAGTTCGATTAATCGGTTAATCGGATAGAAAATAAAATACATTTTTAAAAATGGCTCCGGTGATGGGGACTACTAGTTTGTATTGAGATTGCAGTCCATCACAGGAGCAAGCTTGGAGCGGTGGAAGTAAAAATGAAAAAAAAAAAGTGTGGTGTGCAATATAGTGAAATGAAAAGACTTATAGGAATCCTCCTAAAGGCATTTCTTTATTGAAAAGGCATAAAAGCAGCTACAAAGGGTGCTAACATGTTTCAGTCCCCCAAGGGACCTTAATCATAGCAATAAAATCACAAAAATAAGAGCAATAAATGCAAACCACCCACTGACAAAACTACATGTGTGAGCATATACCTGCTGAATTAACCTCCTACATGTGTGAGCATATACCTGCTGAATTAACCCCTTCAATACTAAAGCTAACACAACAAATAAAGGAAATCCATCATGCCCCAGATTAAGGCAGAGGGGGTTAAATCACTTCAAAGACATGCTGGTAGGTTAATTGGCTCCTCTCTAAGTTGGCCCTCTATGTATGCATGTGAGATAGGGACCTTAGATTGTAAGCTCCTTGAGGGTAGGGACTGATGTGAATGTGCAACTATGTAAAGTGCTGCGTAAATTGTCGGCGCTATATAAATACTTGTAATAAATAATAAATGACATCATGTACAGCAGGATTTCAAATTGAAAATCCACCATGTTTCCCTCTCTAAGAATTTACAATATGAACTGCCCCTTCTGTCATGTTTTACTATTCTTTCTCTACCATGGAACTCAAATGAGGACATATTCCCTCCATTTACATCCCTAAAATGTTTTGAGATATTTGATAGGTGTAATGCATTATGATTTAGGGTATATGCTCACCTATACGAATTCTTAAAGGGGGGATAGTACAGCCCACATATTGGATGCCACAGGTAGTGCATGTAATAACATAAACCACCCATTGAGTGTTACAATTAAATCCACATTGAAAAGATACCACAACTGATAGCCATGTTTTTCTTTAGTAATATTTGGCTTGAAATAAGCATGGACCGCAATGTTGGCACCTTCTGGTAGAAAATGTACACCCATCCTTAAAAGGAGAACTATGGGGTGAGTGCTTTTTACTCACCTCATAGTTCTAGCCGACCTGTGACAATGAGACTGTCACAGGTCGGCTCAGTAGATTGGGAAGTGAGCGAACACATACCGGCGTTCACTCACCTCTCGATCCTTTCACGGCTCTCTGCCGTGACAGGGAAGGGGCTGGATTCCCCCCTCCCCGCTACGATCCGCCAGCGCTGACTGGCGGAACAAATGGGGGAGGGGCGGGTACAGCTGGCTCTGCCTCTAGATAGGCAGAGCCAGCTGTCAGTCACGCAGCTGGGCGGATCCAGACATAATTGTCGGGATCCGCTTCAGCTGCGGCGTCTCAGTATATCGGGAGCTACAGCTAGCGGTATACTGAGCCTAGGGTGACGGGAGGACGCTAGTTTGTGTCCTACCATTACCCTAAGGAGAACTATGGGAAAAAGCATTAACCCCATAGTTCTCCTTTAAGGATCTTGTACAGGTCTCTTTCATTAATCATCTCCCGTCCGCCGAATGTAGGAAAATGGCCGGACAGGAGCCTTGTACATGTGAATGGGCATCTTAAAACGTCCTTTGTGCCCGCGCCCGCGCTCTACCTGGCGCGCACGAGCGAGAAACTGTCAAAAGTTTACATAGCTGGCTATTTACATACAAGCGGTCCGGCATCTGTAAAGCCCCCCGATTGCTTGTATGTTGTGCCTTCGTGTGCCCCCCCTCTCTGCTGCGATCCCGAGCTCCCCGTGCCCTGTGCGGGTCCTGAATCAGCACCGTGGCTCTGTGCAGGGAGATCGGAGGGAGTTCAGTACACGATCTCCCTCTGAACTCCCCTCCAGTGTTGTAAGTGCGGAAGTGATGTTTATTACATCACTTTTACATTCAGCTGTCACTCTCCAGCTACAGAAGCCGGAGAGAAGCTGGTGAAGCAGATCTCTGCTTCCTCAGCTTCTTTGGGGGTCCCTAGGTGACATTAGAGGTCTTAGAGACTCCTGATGTCTCCATAAAAGGAGACCGGTCACTGTAATTTGATATCACATAGGGGACTTCTTAGGCCCCCTATGTGATAACAATGAAGTTAAGTGTATGAAAAAAAATGAAAGTGCCAAAAAAATTAGTCACACAAAAAAAACCCACAATTTTTTTCCCAAGTCCCCCATATACACACGCGCAAACATGCACGCACATAGGCGTCGGGGGCGCCTATGTGCGAAAACGACGATTGTGCTCATTATGCCACACATGTTAGGTTGGACTTGATGGACTAATGTCTTTATTCAACCTCAAATACTATGTAACTATGTTACATATAATCGCAAACATCAGTGTGAGCAATAATTTTAGGGCCATGAATCACTGTTAACTCTAACTTGATGAGCGGTAAAAGCTTTTAAAGTGTCACCTATGGCCAATCTTGTGTGTGGTAATTTTTTGCGATTACGCGGGCGGGCGCAATTTTAAGGCTTGATGTGTTTGGTGTCTATTTAACTGATGTAAAACAGCAAAAAGTTTTCCCAGCACACTCACCAGCCAGCATGCAAAAAAACCTGTCTAACCGCTAAGGTTAAAAACCGAGGTTTAGATACACGTCTTCTGCAGAAAATGTGAAAGCCGCACAGCTGCGTCAAGGCACCTCTAAATAGTGCGGTCCTAGCTCTAAACTTAAGGTGCCCACACACCTTACGATCTGCCTGTCCAAGATGGGCAGATCGTACGTTTTTTTAATAAGCTTACAACCATCGCAAGACAAAAGTCTTGCGATGGTTGTAAGCTGTGTGTCCAGCCTTAGAGAGTCTCCATCTTCGGAGTACATATGGCAAAAGATCAAATTGGGTGCAGGTTTGTCAAGAGGAAACCCAACCTCCCTTAAAGGCACAGGGGTGCACAAGGCATCCCGGCCCCTCTGGCTGTCAAAGTACCTGAACAATGCCTGCATCCAATCAGATTGTTCAGGTATTTTGACAGCCAGCGGGGCCCACTAGCAAGATACTGAAGCTTGGCCCAGTGGGAGATTCCTCCATCCACACAGTTTAGCGTAGATGGAGGAATCTGTTGGACTTTTTCCATCTGACCATAGAAAATCTGCAGATAATCTATATGTGTATGGCCAGCTTTAGGCATAAGTGTGTAATTAGCTTTTTGGACATTACTCTTTTGGGCAATGCGAACATAGTACAGGTGATTACACAGACCTATAGAAAACCATGCTCTGGGAACGCTACACTTTTGGCAAATAGTTGTCTACCCCCACATACTATTAGATGTATCCCAGTAGGGGAATTTATACGAGCAAGAAGAAATTGCTCCACTGAAGAGCATTTTAATAAGGAGTGTTTCATCTTAAAAAATCGTTTGAGAGTGAAGGGATATCCTGAATGGATGCTAACAAGGGCAATAAGTTTAGCTTCTGCTAGATCCCGAGATGATTTGCTCTCTTCTCTTTAAGCGTTGTGTTGAAATTCTGCTATATGCATATGATGACATGCATTGTGTGAATCTTTCTATATATATAATACGAGTTGTGCTAAAGTCTTGCTGTACATGATGTCATGTGTGATCTTGTTTGTTTTACCTGTGTCACTTTTAAGTGTGCTGTTTCTTTGTGCGTAAACTGGGGCATGACGTATTGCCTTAATTTGTTGTATTTGCTTTAGCATTGAAGCGGTTAACTCAGCAGGTATGTGCTCACACATGTAGGAAGGTTTTGTCAGTGGGTGGTTCCTTAAGTATTTGTATTTATTGCTCCTATTTTTGTGATTTTATTGCTAGGATTAAGGTTCCTTGGGGGACTGAAACATTTTAGCACCCTTTGTAGCTGCTTTTATGACTTTTTAATACAGAAACGCCATTAAGAGGATTCCTAAGAGTGCCAGCTCTTTTCCACTTCATTTTGTGGTTTTCAAGTTGGATTTAAGGTCTTGGGTTGGCTCATGTACCATCACCTGTGATAATGATTTTTTTTTTTAAAATGACCTGGGTAGAACTCAGGGCCTGTTCACACGACGTCCGTTTTCTGTGCTGACCTGATCCGTACGCTCCTGCACTAAAAATGCATCCCAATGTATCCCTATGTGTTTTATGGGCTACAGTTCTCACGTACGCAGTCCGTTCAGGTTACGACAGAAAAATACTGCATGTCACATTTTGTACGGTCAGGAAATGGAACGAAAACGCCAAACATGTCATAAACGCACTGCGGCTAACATACTGAAAGCCCCACTCCAGCTAAAAAAAAAAAACCGCTGGCTGTCAAAATACCTGAACAATGCCTGCATCTAATCAGATTGTTCATCCCAATGTATCCCTATGGGTTTTATGGGCTACAGTTCTCACATGCGCAGTCCGTTCAGGTTACGACAGAAAAATACTGCATGTCACATTTTGTACGGTCAGGAAATGGAACGAAAACGCCAAACATGTCATAAACGCACTGCACTGCAGCTAACATACTGACAGCCCCACTCCAGCAAAAAAAATGTTTTTTTTTAACCTGGAACGCATCCAAAACGCGGCAAAAACGCACTGCATCAGTAGCACCGCATCTGCAGATCCGCACCTGATATCATGTGAACAGGCCCTTAAACATGATTCTGTGAACTACAGATTACTCACTGTAACTTCAAATCACATTCCATTAATTATGATTTTTCTTTTTCAAGCCTTACAATTTTATTTGTTATTTTGCTGATGGTCCTGCAAACTGTGTTAGCTGGGCAATTCTTTCTGCAAAAGAAAATATCACCAGAAGATAAACAGAAGCCCCTAGCTCTAAACAACAGGTATTATTTCTATTTGGATTTGTATGTGCAATTACATATGTAATCTTGGGGATTAAAATGTAAAATTATAAGCAACCTCTTAGGATGGATCATATCAGCATAGCAAATGCTAACGTCCATTGCTGGAGGTGGCTATTGCCCAACACTTTGAAGCGGTGCTAGTTCCAGGGCAAGTGCATCATGGCATGTGATGCTGTATGAAGAGATGCTCTGTATTAGAACTAGTACCGCGTTCCAATAGTGAGCTAAGCAGTTTACGAATGATTTAGCCACTTTTAAAAAGGTCATAAGAATCATATTTAGGAACATATATACATTATGTGGGTTTTCTGTATGCACATAACGAACATGACACTGGGTGTCATTCGTGTTTGAATGGGGCCTAACACTAGCATAATCAAACACATAGGCTCTACTCTAGTATCAATTTTAAATACTTTTGAAAAAAGGTTTTAACATAACCACCTATCATCCGTACTCCACCACAAGTGCTGAAAAACCATTACTACTCTTAAATTGTTAAATATAATGGATAAAAAATGTAACTCAGCATCACAGCAAGGTGTCATAAAGCCATTTAAAATTGTAGTATTGGCAATCATTTCCCTCTTTAATTAACTCATTTTTTTACTTTTTAGGAAAGCCTTTCATAATTTCAATTATTTCTTCTTCTTCTATAATGTGATCCTTGGTTTAAGTGCTTGCCTACTCCGGCTATTCATTGGTTTGATTTTGGGGAGTTGGCTGATTGCAAGGATTGACAGGACAATACTGCAACGTGGATATGAGTCAGCTGACATGGGTAAGATATTTAATTGGTCGGTGTGATTGTTTTCACATGGTATCCAAAAGGGAAATAAAACTATCCCCAGGCCAAGATGCCATTCATCTTCTAGTAGAAGTCTGGGAGGCAATGATGGAGTGGCCTGAGCTACTAGAAGGGAAGGGGTCACTGGCATTCCGGCATGCTGATCAATACGACGTTTCAGGGCCACGCAGGGTCCCCTTCATCACACAAAACAGTGGTGATGAAACATCGTGTTATGTGATACTGAGCATGTGTCAACAAAGGCGTATTTATCAGCATACTGGAGTGTCAGTGACCCCTTCTTCTCTGATATTGAGCAGTGCCATCCGACTGCGATGGGACATTAGTCTGTGCTACTATGTTTCGCACAATCTCAAATCCACAGATCAGGAGCATGGCCAGGATTCCTTAATTAGTTTTATTATCTTAACATGTTTAAATTTTTTTCTGTTTAAAGTTTAGAAATGTTTTTATTGTTTTTCTACACTGACAAGCCATGTGATAACTAGCTAGTCACCTGTTTCTGTTAGGTGACATGCTAGAGCAGGGGTGGCAAACTCAAATTAATCGTGGGCCACATCAGCAGTATGGTTACCCTCAAAGGGCCGGTTGTATAGGACTATGCATCTACTCTTTATTATCATAAATAGTTGCCTCTGCATTCAGTTGCTACTGGTGATAGCGGCCACACCCCCAGTAACCACACCCATTTATCACCCATATTTTTGCTAAAATATAAGAGTCGGGGTCACGTCGGGTAAATAGACACCAAACATGTCATGCTTTAAAATTGCGCGCACCCGCAAAATCGCAAAAATTTACCATGCCCAAAATTGACCATAGGTGACGCTTTAAAAGCTTTTACCGCTACAACCTACCACCTGAAATAAGCTTTCTGACACAGTGAAAAAGCTTTGTGGATCAAATATTAACATGACAAGGGAAAATTCAAGGGATTATGAAGACCTTGCCTTTATCCTTCTGATGATTTAAAAGCATTTCCATGTGTGATTACAACACTTCCAAGGCTGTTGTAACTTTAATATTGATTTAAAAAATGTACAAGCAGTATAAGGAAGTGCCTCACTTAGGCCCCGTTCACATTGAGCGGTTCGCAAATCGCGCGTATGTCGCACGATTTTTGCATTTTGCGCAATATCGCGCAAATGCTTGCATTGAGCAAGCTTGATTCGCGGCTAAATCCGCTCCAAAAAGGGTCCTGCTGTAGCGACACACGACCTGCGACAGCAGGACCCTTTGCCCCATTGAGAAGCATTGGAGAGCGATATCGCGCAGTAAATTGCCGCAATATCGCGGGAATTACCGCGCGATAAATCGCTCAATGTGAACGGGGCTTAAATCTTCTCAATCTTAAAAGGGAAAGAAGTCATATTCTCAATAATATGTTTTGGTTCGAAAATCAGCCTTTTTTTTAGACCACTATAATTAACATCAGAACTGCTTCTCTCCCCATAGAAGTCTATAAGGATGCAAAAGCAACCTAAAGCAGGTCAAATACAAGTCAGACAGAGGTCAATTGCAGGTCAAAATCCCCTTCCAGTGAGTTTTGAATTATCTCAAAAGGGTCTCAAACTGATATCAAAAGTAAAACTCACAAAGCAGCCAACCCCTCATATTCCTTGTCCTGTGGTCACACAGCCCCATCCCAGCAAAAAAAAAAAAGCACGCTGCCGTTTGATACTGGCTCTCACAGAAACAATTGCTGCCCAAACGACTGATATCACAAGCTGGACAATGTTCATTCCCGAAGTCAAAACATGCTGTAAACAAACACTGGCTCCTCCAACTCTAACATGTTTCACCAAATGGCTTATTCATAGAGATAGTTATCAAAAGTAAGCTACATTTGTCCAGCTACGGAAAATCAACATCCAGCGACCCTGGCGCTACCTTATGTTTGTGTGTAGTTTAGGAATGTATTGAGCTCCTTACTACTGAAATATTGTTTACTTAGAATATTTGTTGATTACATACAGGGAGCAGGTGGCCTCTATCTTTTCTGAAAATGTTTTTTATTGTAAATAGCAAGGATGCACTGATACCGATACTAGTATCAGTATCGGTGCCGATACCAAGTATTTATTTCGTACTCACCCAAATGCTCTGATACTTTCCCCGATACCGTAAGTTCCAGTCAGAGAGAGGTTTCCTCTGACCGGCAGTGCCATAGGGGAACATTGAGCCGGCTTTCCAGTCAATCAGGAAGCCAGGAGGCGGGTCATTACTTGGCTCCCGGCTTTCTGATTGCCCGAGCAGCCGGCTCCATGCCAGCGGAAGCACCGGTATCAATACTCGGTATTGGCGGGTACTGAAAGCAAAATATCGGTACTCATACTCGATACCGAAAAATCGATATCTGTGCATCCCTAGTAAATAGCATTGTGTGTATCTTATTGTGACTAGCATAGCACAGCTTAATTAAGTATTAAACTCTCAAACTTTTTTCAATAATGAATCCATATCAGACAAATATACGTTGCCCAGCCAAGCAGAGGCGTCCCCAACTGTGGTGACACCCGGAGCAGCTGTGCTGGGATGTCATCACACATGCGCTACGTCATAATGCACGAGTAATGATGTCACATGCACTTACCTGCCGGAGGTCATCTTGACGATGGATGCCAGCAAAGAGAGGAGGGGAGGAGGAGGTGATGGACGCCGGCAAAGAAAGAAGGGAACTGTCAGTCATTTTGGTGTCACCTCCCCCGCATTCCCCTTGAGACGCCACTGCAGCAAAGTATTTCTTTACATTTTTCCCTAAGCACTTACAGTCATCATGTTTCTAAACATCTGGCTCCAACTCTCTCAGCTCCGCTTCCCTGAAGTTCCTCTAGAGACAGCTCAATCTCCAGTGGCTGCCCATCTACTAGCTTTGAGAAGGGGGAGGGAGAGCAGGGAAGTGGATTGCCTTGCTGTGCCTGTGAGTTTGTTGATTAGAAGTGCCCCATCGCACTCCGGACCAGTATCCAACATGTTGCTTTAGTGGGTGCTGTAGTGACCAACAGATGGCGCTGTGTGGAACAATGTAAGGAACCAGGCCAACAGCACACCAAGGCCCACCTTATCAATCCATCTTTTATTGGCGTATGATAATCATGGTATCACAATGAACCGCAACGTTTCAGAACAATCAGTGTGATAACAGTGCAACAAACAAATTGATATATATATATATAAATATATATCAGTGAAGAAACCAATAATCCAATCAACGTACCTTATTTCACCCCTTCTGACATCATTGTGACATCATATTCCCCGCCATTTCTTACGAATATTACAAGTATATAATATGGGGCGTAACTAGCAAAATTTAGTATGGGGCCCTGTGATTTCTAGTTACGCCCCTTGCAGAGCTCACCTGAGATCCCACACAGCCCACCTGAGAGTGACCCTGCAGAGCCCACCATAGACTATCTGTGAGCTGGTCACACCTCTGCACACCTCTTAACTCTCAGCCCCGATCTGCTGCCAGCCTTCTCCACCACCTCCTCCTCAGTCCACGGAGTGCCCCACCTCCTCCTCCTCCACTGCCGGGCCCCGGCCTCACTGACTCGGCAGCGACTGTGAGAAGGAACGCACCGTTCAGATTGTCAGTGATCTGGACAGTGGCGCGTTCCTCCTCACAGGCGCCAGTGACAGCCAGCAGCCTGCGATGCCATAGCAACACAGGTGGCCCGCACGGCATCAGGGGGACCCCTATGTTCCTAGCCGGGCCCCCCTGTGGCCTGGGCCCCATAGCAGCTGTCTGGGTCATTATGGCGATAGTTCCGTCACTGTATATAATATTATGAGTTTGTGGAGACACACAAAGCTTACTAGCATAAACAAGGGTGGCTCCATAGGATCTTGGAAGGGAAAGGCGCCCCCCTAAAACAGGATATCAGGACCAGTGCTCAGGGGACCAGCTGATTCTACAGGAAGCTAAAACTTTTAAATATGAAGGAGCAGCATCCATTGTAAGTGATCAGCATTTGAGATAACTTAAAACCCTTTTGAGTTTAATATCACTTTGAAGATGAACACATTGAGGTGAATTTACCAAAACTGGAGCAGAAGAATCTGGAGCAGTTGCCCAGGGCAACCAATCAGCTTCTCTCTTCAGTCTGTTCAGTTAAGATTTGGTAATGAAAGAGAGAAGCTGATTGGTTGCCATGCACAGATGCACCAGATTTTGTCTGCTCCAGTTTTGATACATTCTCCTCATTCTGTTTTCTTTCTTCTAGCAGACACACCAACATCTTAGCTTGTCAGTTCACCCAGGCCGAAAAAAAGCAGGAGGGCTGTGCTGGGCTCTCTTATAACAAACTGTGTTGCATGGAAGAACTCTGTATTAAACGTTCACTTGTACAATAAAAACTTTATACAGATAACACAAAAGTCAGTTTATCAATTTAAGCACATACAAATCATTGAATAAAAACTATCATGGTTTCCCTTTATTTTGTATAAAGCAACATTAAGTCATATACTGCAAATACTAACTAAATCTATTAAATGTTTTCAAGGTTACAACACATGGATTGGGATGATATTTGTGGATCACTATCATACAAACCCAGTGCTTGTGTGTTTCTGCAACATTCTTCTGACAACGACAGCTGAAAGAAAACTTAATATGTTATCAACGTACTCAAATTTTAGTAATTCATCAGGTAAGTAAGATTCATTTAACAATCCATTTATAATTTACGGTATAATATGCCACCATTTTGGTCACCAAAAGCTGATCGCATGCTAAACATTGTGACATTCTAAATGGTCGATATGGCCAGCTTTAGACTGATATGCTTCCTCATATGTGTATCCTCTCATTTTAAATAACTGCGCACTATACATTATATTGGAAACCCTGTGCCCAATTTTAAAAAAGTCCCAGGTAAAAGCACAAAAAAAATCAAGTATTTAACACTTTAGCGGGCCATATTCTGTTAGGCTGAACGAGAACAATCTGACAGATACCTCCATTTACGCTAAACATAGATAGATAGATGAATTTCCTGCTGCGCCTATTGTATTCTGTATTCAGTATTACAGTATTGTATACTATACTGTAGCTTATTGGCTGCAGACACTGTTCAGCTGAGAAATGTCTGCCTGGCTACTTCACTTTTCTGATCGAAGGATGTCAGGGGGGAGGCTTCCGGCAGGGCCACCCATAGAGCAAATTTTCGGCCAGTTTATCAAGAACCAATTGAAATTTGTTCAGTGTATGGACAGTTTTACTTGTAGTGTTTTTCCTTCCATGCATTATTTGTTATTGACTTGCAATGTCCCTTTGAACTTGCTAGAAAATTTGACTAGTCATCTCCTTAGTATAGTCTCCTCCCTCCTTGCACGTTATTGCCCTCTCCTCTTCTAGGAGTGTCTAATTACAGACTGTGCTGGCCCAGCTCTTTCTCACCTCCCTTCATCTCTCTACATAACCTTTTATGTAGCTGTAGAGAATACTATATAAAGTATCACTTGAGTGACGGCGCTGTGTCTGCTGGGGCTGCTTACATCAAATCGAAGATGGTGGTGCCAGGCAGCAGTCTCAGGACTTTTGGATGTCTACATAAGGGAGGCTAACATGCATAAACTAGGTTACATGTACATATAACCTTATAGAAAGAATACAGATAATTAATTTGTGTAAATGAATGGTCTGGTGACAGGGTCTCTTTATTTGTTTGGTTTATTCACTTTGTGCAACGTTTATTTCCTAATAGGACCTCACACATCAGCTAAAGCCAGAACAAGATGGCTCCTCTTTTACACTCTTTTGAAAAATCCCAGACTTATACTACAAAGGAAAAAAAAGGAAATGTATGACACAGACATTGACAATACTGCAATACAAACCAGACTTATCCAGGCTTCTGCACTGGAGGCTGAAATAAGACGTAGCCCCAAGCCAGTTGAGTTAGATAATGTAGAAATAAGGGCAAGACATCCGATATTTGAGTTAGACCTGCCATAGACCAAAATCATTTTATATCAGTAGAATTTGTTCCATGAAAAAATAAGGGGTGTATTTCTAAAAAGTTCTCAATTTGTTTTGCAAAACTGAGATTTACGTTTGTTCTTTGTGAATAGGGTAAAAGTTAATGCTTTCTTGTGCAGAACAATTGTAATTGTTGGAAAATACCACATTATGGCCACTAGATGGAGCTGAGGAGCATAGGGAGTAAAGACATATGCTATGCTCCTTGATTCCATCTAGTAGCCATAATCAGGTATTTTCCAACAATTACATTAGATCCACACACAAAAAAAGATTCAATGTTGCCTTGATTGCACAAAACAAATGTTAATGTCAGTTTCAGAGAACAAATGGCTCTGCAAGCTTTTTATAAATACACCTCTTAGGCCTCATTCACACCGACGCGCATACATGCGCGTACAGTACCATATGCAGCATATGCAAATAAATGGCTCCATACACATAGCTGCGTATGGAGCCGTATATTTGCGTGGCGTAAAAATGCGCAAAAACAGAATGGAACCGAGATGCGTCTGGGCAGCGTATTGCTGCGTACTTACGCGCATATATGCGTGTTTGCGCACATATACGCACATACAGTTCATTAACATTTCTATTACGAATGATGCATTGTGGGATTGCAAATAGTGCACGTATATACGCAATATACAATTTCGCTCTTGCGTTGTGTGTGAACGAGGCCTAAGGGTGATGAATTAAAATGTATTTATTAGAGGAGTGATAACATAGATATCCATAAATATATTCTACAGCTTAGGCACTGTTTAGGCGACAACACTACACTGTTTTGTAAATATGATTACATGTTACTTTGTTGGAGCACTAACCATGGCAAACAGAGGAAGGTATTTTCAGAAGGATGTCAGGTACTGTCTCTGCAACATATAAAAAGCCATATATCAATCAAGGGTGTACTTTTAGCTGGGTATGTCCTGATACCCCTTTGTTGAGACCAAGTACAAGTACTGCCCCTCATGTGCTTGCCGATACCAATTACCGATACTTTTTCTTAAAAAGGGACAGGGGACTTTTTTCTAAAACAATACAGACTAATGATTTTAGGGCAGTTACTTTATCATTCTGAAAAAAAATAAGTAAACCTATTATTGTCGAGCTAAAGAAATATATACAGTATATTGCCATAAAGCATACTCAATATATAAATGATGTGGTGCAATACCAAGTGTAGAACCAGTGTATGCGTGTACAATAACATCTTCAAAGTAAAAAACAATGAAAAAATCGGAACAATTTCAGTTAGTACAATTCAGTCCCAATCTGAATCAGTGTATAACTCAATCTCCAAACAGTCTATGTCTTCATAAACGCAAAACACCATGTGCTCCAATACCACACTCTGTGTGTAATGATCACTCATTTTTCCCGCACCCGAAAACATTCCTGCACCATAAGGAATGAGCGAATATTCATAGGTGTGGGGAAAACTGAGTGATCATTACACACAGAGCCACAACAAATGAGGATAGTCTCTGCAGAATGTTCAAACTGGCCCATAATAATTAGATAGGCAAAATGTAAAGTAACTCATTCATTGTCACTCATATATAAACAAGTGTGTTGTCACTCACATATAAACAGGTGTGTTGTCCCTCACATATACACAGGTGTGTTGTTAGTCACATATACACAGGTGTGTTGTCACTCACATATACACAGGTGTGTTGTCACTCACATATACACAGGTGTGTTGTCACTCACATATACACAGGTGTGTCTGCGCTGTCCAGGGCGTTCCAAGGCAAATCTCTCTGGCTGGCTTGTGGGAGGTGGTGATCGATCGAAAGTTCGAACTTATCGAGTTCTGGGACCGCCTGACTTCCGCTTTCGTTACAACTAAGAGGTTTAAACAAAAAAGTTATTCTGCACGAGCGCCATCCGCGGTATTGCTCTATACACATACAGCACAGCAATGAAGTAATAAAATGAACTAGGATCACACTAATCCAGCACGTTATCCAGAGGTCCCTGGAGAGTTCACACTCCAAGCTCAATCTCTGTGGGTAGCTTGTGGGAGGCAGCACTGTGAGGTCCTGGCAGGGCTCCAAATATGATCCTGATCTCTCTGGCTGGCTTTTGGGAGACTGCAGGGTGAGTTGACATGCAGGTGAAGCTATTTAAAATGCCGGTACCGGCGCTATGCATCAGGGCATTTTCACGAGTACAAGTACTCATGAAAATGCCCTGTATCGGCTCCGATACCGGTACTAGTATCGGGACATCCTACTTTTAGCCATAGCAGACTATGCAACTCTTATGGGGCCCAATAATATCTGGCTTCATATCGATTTGTGCAAGTAGCAATAGCATTTTGCAAAAATATGTGGATATGTTAATGTATACTGTATATAGTTTGCGAACCACATATCAGGGGCAGCCAGACTTCGTCCCTCCAGCTGTTATGGAAATGCAAGTTTCATACGGCATTGCAGGACTCTGACAGCTACAGGCATGACATTCAGAGGCAGCGGCATGATGGAATATGTAGTTATACCACTGGCCGGAGGGCCAGAGTTTGGTTACCCCTGCTCTATATTATTGAAGTTTAAAGACAACATAATTTTGGTTCTTTAGATTGCTGTATGCTCCTGCGTGAAAATACATTGCTTTTCTAAAACAAAGGGTGTTTACAGCTTATCACTCCCCTTCCAAATTCAACAAAACCGCTGATTTATAACCAGGTTACAGCCATTTATTCAGCTTGCTTCAAACATGACTTCCATCATTCAATCGTGTGCAAGCAAAAATACTGTTTTGTTTTTATTTTCCTTGCATGTGATTTTTACCACATTCACTAAGCTAAGAGACAATTCCCTTGCAAAGTGAACAGCCTATTAGGTTTTAATAAATCAACTCCCATGCCTTCTATGCAATAGGTCTTGGCATACATGTAAAGTGTAAATAAGTCAGGTTACTCTTACCTGCCACCAGTGCCTTCCAGGTGGCCATAAAATGTATTGGATGGCCCCACTGAGCAATAAAGAGGGTTCAGGTAGTGTGGCACTGCTCTCTTATGTAAACTGCATGACAATGCAGATTGTGGTCTCAGTTTACATAAGAGAGCAGTGCCATATTCTGAACAAAAAATGCTAGTTCATTGACTGTCATACTGTCCCTCTGGCTCTAATGGATTCAAAGTCAGTGACCAGGAACAAGTACACATGTCAAGAGTTATGACCTAAAGCTGGTGATACATTTTTTCAGCCCTGCAGGGCCAGGGCTATTGTATGCTGAAAGAAGTGGGTGTGCCATTGTCAGAATATCCAAACAGTGACTGCAGCTGATTGAAAAATTGACTTTAGTCGAATGTAGGGGGGGCTGGACCACACGTGGTTGAATCAGCAGGACCAGTGTCTTGGACCAGTGTCTTGCAAGCTTTACTGTAGCTTCACTAATTGCAAGGTTTTTTTCAGCTCAGTGTGGTCTGCAGTGGTAGCCTGCAGATTTCTTTGATGACAAATGTTCCAAATTGTTCTGTGTATTAGATGCTAAACTCAGAGCTTTAAATTCCAGCTGCAAAGATTGAGCTCTTACATTTCCCCACCTCTAGCACTGTGCATCTGTCTGCTAGTGATAGTGAATGTATTGTATAAAGGTATGCAGGGAAGCATGTGCAGCATAGCTAGAAGCAATCATTTGCAAATTTTGCATCTCAGTTTGAAGAGTTTAAGTGGCTCTGCAAAATATTACAAATATTTAAATGTACATCTTAGTATAAGAATGTAAACTTCCTCCCATGAAATACAGTACACATGTCTCTCTGTGCCATAGTACTCTGGACATACTGTAGTACTAAGTGTACTGAAGTACATTTCAACATTTTATTTAGTTTGTGTTACTTATTACAAATATAATGTTAGGTAGACATTTTTGTAAATCAGCATCAATGGGTGGATGTGCTTCCTATTGTTAAAGATAGGATTCCTCAAGAGCTATCCAAGTCTGCATGACATATTCTCTAAGTTAGTACTACTTCAGACTTACAAGAAACCTGTGGAGTGTTGACAACATTTATTCTAACATAATTTGCAGATAAGTGCGTTGCCTGCAAATAGACATTCTCTGAAATTTGAAGAACATATTCTCATATATGAGGCGGGTCATAAAGATCATGAGTGATGGAAAACTAACAAAGTAATAGTGTAGGTCAGCGTTTCTCAACCTTTTTCTAGTCACAGCACCCTTTAAAAGTTTGCAAAGTCTGGAGGCACCCCAGCCTAAAATGTAAAAATATAGAAAACGAGGTGTGATCCTTCAAAAATCCATACCAGACCCTTATCAGTGATAGAGGTCTGATTTGGTTTTAAAGAGGGGACCACATTATTATTATACAGGATTTATAAAGCGCCAACAGTTTGAACAGTGCTTTACAATATAAGGAAGACATTACAATCACAATACAATTCAAGAAAGAGGGGATCACATGCAATACACATTAGGAGTCCCCTTCACAGAGACCCCCCCTTTCACATCTGAATCCCCCCTTTCATATCAGAAGCCCCTCTTCACATCAGAAACCCTCCCTTTCAAACTAGGAACCCCCTTCACATCAGAGTCCCCCCTTTACATCAGAGTTCCCCCTTTACAGAGTTCCCCCTTTACATCAGAGTTCTCCCTTTACATCAGAGTTCCCCCTTTACATCAGAGTTCCCCCTTTACATCAGAGTTCCCCCTTTACATCAGAGTTCCCCCTTTACATCAGCAGTCACCTTCATATCAGAGTTCTACCATCACATCAGGAGTTGCAGCAGCATGGCACTGGATTGAGGCAAATGTTCACCTTTTTTGAATGGATCCCACACTTTCTGGATTAGTGTAATTTGTCTCCATGGTGCTACATGGCCTGCACCATGGAAAGGCATGACCCTGTGCAAAACTTTTTGGCACAACTGAGAAGGCCAGGGTACCACACCTAGTTGAGACAGACTGGTGTAGGTCATTCTGTCTCTACTTCCTAGTACATCACCGT